AAGGCAAGAGAAAAAACGTTAGCAGAAACGGCATTGATTAATACACAGTATTATTAATTTAATTAAAACAGATTCACATATCTTCTTTATGGCTGCTGTATAAGGTATTTCTCTCGCCTTCTTGGCATGCCTTTGTGGTGTGGTGGTCTGCACTCTGGACGCGTATTCCAGAGGTCCGTGGTTCGATTCCCGGCAAAGGCGGTTGCTCATTTTTCATCTTTCCTGCTTCCAGAAATAATCAGAATGTCTCTACAGTGGCGCCCGAACTAGAAGGATTTTAGATGACGATTCTCCACACCCAGGATTTGGCGATTGGGTCCCCTAAAAACCCCAGTCGCCCTTTAAAAGGGGAAGTATATAAGGTATTTCTCCCGCCTTCTTGGTGTGCCTTCGTGGTGTGGTAGTCTGCACGCTAGGCCTGTATTCCAGAGGTACGCGGTTCGATTTCCGGCGAAGGCGTTGCTAATTTTTCATCTGGCCTACTTCCAAAAATACCTAATATCTTTACTCTACAGCTGCATGCACCCCACTGCTTCCATCTTTATATGGCAGCTTACACCATCGGCATATTTATTTATACAGTTTACATCTTTATAGACAAAGGCGATAGACAGCGCAGGCAAGAGAAACATGTTAGCAAGAAGCAAGGAGAAGCAGGAAAAAAGGGGCTGCGAATACTAACAGTGGTATTTAAAGACTTGATTTCTTTGTTTAAAGAAAATAAACAAGAAAATTTACTTAAAAAAGAAATATGATTAAAATTCGGCTCGTCTGTAAATCAGCTTTTAGTGTATCGCGGTTAGTGCATCGTCGAGAGAGTGTGTTAAGCTCCGGGAACGACTGAACCGAAGTGTCAGGAGCTGTGCTCTGTGTGTCGTCGAGTGCATCGCGAGTTGTAGCGTGGAGAGTCTCGAGAGTACGTGGAGTTCTGACGAGCAGAGTCGGGAGAACGACCGAGCAGAGCTGGGAGCTGTACTCTGGTGCTTTGCAGTGAAGCTATCTCCACCGTTTGACTCAAAGTTTTGATATCAATATCATTTAAATACGGTCACGAATTGTGTACGGTATTATTATTTTAAAATGCCGAATATAGCTGTTTATATTTCATTCAGTTTATAAATTGAATTCATGAAAAAGGGAATTTGAAACTCCTGGTAAGCGACCACCATGAAAAAAAGTGAGAAAATTAAATTCAACTTTTAGCACAAACGAATGGAAAACCAGATTAAGTAAAACAGAGCAAAAATTTCAAATCCATGCATATACGCGCTGGCATAATAAATACAAACGTTGCGTGCTCCTGTAACAACCACGACCGTAACCGAGAGTGCATTTTTCAAATTTTCAGAGAGTCTAACGTTAACTGAAATAGGCAACAAATAATCCTCAGGCAAAATTTCTCAATGAAATAAACGAGATGCTGCTGCCGAAAGAAATACAAAACGACGTCGTGAAAACGCACCACTTTTTCCAGAAGCTGTACAAACACGAAGACATTGTACAGAAGCGATGGCAGGACACGCATGGCAAGAAGTTTAATAGACAAACACATTTAAGCGCTGGGCCTGACCTTCATCTGTTTTCAAAAGGTAGGTCGAACACAAGTGCTTTGATTATGTTCAGGATATACCACTGTTCTGTATTTAATCATTATTTTGGTATTTCCTTCAGTATCTATGTACTAGCGCATTCGCCTAGTCCGACAATTTTGCACTTTCTCATTATCCGCAACCAAATCGATAAATCCCCGCCAAGAAGCCGCGAAAAAATACGGAAAACCCCTGAAAGTGGGTGTTGCTTATTACCGCAAAATCGCGTTCCGCAAGCGTAACTTACTATGAAAAATTTATTACATATAAATCAGATCAAGAAAATATGTACAATATAAACAAGCGTAAACATTGTTGTAATTAAGAAAGAAACACTAAACAAATGTTAATTCAAAAGATTTTTATGATTGCTTAGTAAATATGTGATGCAAATATTTAGTACTTTTCTGTTATCGGAATAGGATTCAGAAAAGTATGCATATATGCGCTAATGTATGTGTGTATGTAGATTAACGGGACCAGATTCACAAATGCATATCAGTGTACATGTACAGTGTGCACACGCGTACACATGCACGTGTATCCATATACATGTGTATGTATATGTATGTATGCACACATATATACACACATACATACATACATGCACACTTAACTTTCTGAATCTGTTCCGGATAACAGCTACCAATTATGTTTCTAAAAACGCTAGTGATTTTTGCTCAGGGCAATGACTAACGCAACTCTTTAACGCAACCGAACATTTTCGAAACTCCCCCCCCCAAAAAAAAGCACAATAGGTGTATTATAAATACTTTTATTCATTTATTTTTTACAAAGATTAATCATGGATCATCAAGATTTTACATATTAGTATTATCCTGCGAAAACATTAAATATACATGACATTTTAAGCAAATAAAAAACATTGATATATTCTACATGGAAACAATTGCAGTTACATAAAAAAAATACATAAAATTACGTATTATCCCGTTAACGGAAATTTCGGCAGCATTCGATATTCATAACTGCGGGATTTTATACGACAAGATCATCCATAATTGGCGCTAAGTTACGCTATTTGGCTAGTCAACGGGATAATGCGTAAGTACCAAAGGGATACAATAATAAACATCATGCTCTTATCTGTAGAATGACATATAATTTTAATGATTTATTTAAAAAAAATTTAAGGTTATCGAATTTTTTTAAAGAGATTTTCAATAAATTAGCAATCAGCAATTTTAATAACAGGCCACAATTTCAAAACTATTTACAACATAAGTATTATGGTACGTCATTCTCCAGATAACTACATATAAATTAAGTACACAATGTTTCATAAAAATAAAACAATAATAATTTGATTTATTTCGCCCCAAGTAAGCAAGTTTTGAGAAAAAATAGATTTTGAGAAAAATAGACTGAAAGTTTAAAATGTTATATTTTAATTATTAAATCTTCACCCAAATACCTAAAACTCTCTACATCTATAGGTTATACTTTCATTTTGATCAGCTTTATCTGTTTTGCTTTTTATATTCAGCCTGTTTGTTCTTCTGACAATTTTTACTCTGGGTAGTACGGGACATTTCTATTCACTTATTCACTCCATGTCGAGCTTACTAAATCCTTCGATTGCGAAGGATCCTTCGATTATTCTATAATTATAGAGTTTAAAATGTCTAGTAAGCCTCAAACTCTCTGTTAAATTGTATAACAGCCACGTATGCCCCTAAATTAAGAGTCTGTAATTCCACATACACATCCATCGGTATAAATTTCTAGAAAATGCCATTAAAAACTTTCGCTTGCAGTTTGCCTCCTTCCAATTTTATAAGAGATTATGCGCACATTGTTTCATAAATGCAGGCTTAAGAATATTAATAACATTCTCTAGCAGTTCTTTGGATTTGTCTGTATACAGTTTTCCAACTGACGCAGCTCGCTGATATTAACAGCGGCTGTCTGGTTCAGCTGGGTACTGGCCATGCGTAGATTGTTTTAACTAGAGCAGATGTGAAAGAAAAACAAAACGAAGCAACTGCTGCACTTATGCACATTGTTCCTGATTGAAATTCCATAGTAATTCTCATGTCAATCAATAAAGACATCCATTTGTGAGCTACATTGACAGGTACACCAAGACCTTTTTGCTTTCGCTTTAATTTTCGATACTTTTCCGTTTTGAACCTGCCTTGCTTTTTGGCGCCTGTGAAAGAGAAGCCAAACACACTCAGATACCAATGATAGCACCTTCCCCTTACCAATGATAGGGCTATAGTTATTTGTATGTGTATACCTATAAACCATTTTTTATAAACCAGAAAATGTTTACAATAAAAAAAGGGGGGCAGCCAAAATTTGTGGCAAGCACATAACGGAAAAGCACCCAGTATTCTGAGCCTGGAATCAACGGCGCTTTTATATATGGCCTACGCCAGTGGTCCTTAGACTGTGCTCCACGGAACCCTGAGGTTAAATAAAAATTCAAAACGAAAATTAAAAAGTACTCACAATTGTTCACTAATGTTTATTAACTTAAAAATATAAAACTACATTTAGTTATCGATTAGGTTTTAAGACTTAACATGTGGTCATAGTAGGTCAAAGAAAATGACGTGCAATACTTTGCTAAACTAAACAGTTTTTTAATGGAAAATGTACTGAATTTAGATGAGAGTGATAAAAATTATACAATAGAGCCCCTTCTTCAATTGAAGAAAACTATATAACAGAATGTTTTCCAGAAGGAAAAAAGTAAGCATAATTTTATAAAAAAATCCGTTCGAGTAATACGATAAATCAGAATGCTTGCAAATGAAAGAAAGGGAACAATCAATCGGCATATCAACAAATTCAGCGTTAAAATCTAAATTTAAACAACAACAGCTCCTAAATGTTTGCTTGTAGATTCATGCAGAACACTAGAAATTTCTCACACGGCTATAAATATTTTATGTCATTTGAGACAATGTATTTACATGAAAAATCTTTCTCAACGTATAAGGCAACAAAATATAGAAAGAAATTAAATACATAATATGAAATGCGACTGCAGGATAACAATAGTGCTGGACTTCGTCAGGTTGTGTAAAACCTGCAAACACAGTCCTGTCACTAAATACAACTGCACGTGACATCTGAAGCAGTAGTTAATGCTATTAACGAATCAATTACACGAACTTTATGTTGATACGTTTTAATAAAATATCAGATCAGAATAGCATGACTTCCTTGTACTGCTTATGAAATTATACACATTTATGGTGCACTCCATTTACATTTATTTTCTCGAATTTTATTAGAGATACAGTACTAATTCAATCAATAAGACAAAAATAGTACATAAAAACTCAAAAACCTCTTCGTTAAAAATTGTAAAATACAGAAAAACGTAAAACAACAAATACAGTTTGAAACATTTTAATTTACAATTAAAAATTAGAGTTTTTACGCAAAAACAAGCAGTTCGGCTAACGGGCTTAGATATTTTCGGTGCATAAAATTGAAAGCTATCTTTCGGCCCCACTGGTCGAAAAGACACTGAAGCTGGTGCACCAACTGACTTAATTCACTACTGTACTAAGAGTTTCAAATGTTAACAAATGACGCCATTTAAGCCTTTAAATTGTTGATAATTCTACAGCTATTGCATCCAGACTAACTAAAGATATAAAAACATTTACCGCAATATAAGAATAATATAATTCAACGACTTTTAAAGCAAAAAATGCACAATTTACCAACATATAAGAATAAATGTACTGGACTCCTTTACTTCGCACAAAGAAGCAAAAATGCAACATTTTCCTAAAATTGACTTATGTAAAGTACTGGCCATGTAAAGTAAATTACTTTATGTAATGTAAAGTAGCTATAACATATTGATCTACTTTAAATATTAAATTAAGATATCTTTTTCAAACGGTGGGACTGGGGGTTCTCCGAAAAACCGTTATAATTCCAAAGGTTACGTGATTCGACGAAGTTTGAAGATCACTGACCTATGCATTCATACTTGGTGATACTATTTACAACATAAATAACTTCCACATCATAATTCACTTTCAAAAACATCTCCTGCTAATGGCCAGTTTTTTTAAACTTTGGTTCACTGGATTAAGAAATGTTTTATTAGCATTTTTTTTTCTCCCCTCGATTCCCTTCGCAACCCGTTTCAAAACACACCAATCATCAGACTTTTAACTGAAGTGTTATTAAAAGTAATCAAGAACCAGATAAATCTAATTGCAGTATAAAATGTTTCGGATCATAGCAAGAAGCATATGATTTCAACATGTAAACAGTAACAGTATGCATTTTATTTGAAGTAATTTCATGTTGCCACATTGATTATAAACAAGATTCTTTTAATTCCCACTCTTTAAAAGCCTTTTAAATCATATTTCAAGAAAAAAAAAACTGTTATTGTTTGACACTTTTCCGCTATCTGAATGCCCACTTTCGATTTATGCGTTTTTATAAAATCCTCAATATTTCGATTTCTAATTAACGTAGAAACCTATTTCGGAAAGTTAAATAAAAAATTTATCGGAAGAATACACAAAAGAAAATTGGCATTATTGAAAAAACATAGACTTTTGAAAGTGTTCGGATATCTTAAAAATCTAGCGGTAAGGAGCGCAGAGTTTTTCGATACCTCTCATAAACTGTCCTTTTCTTTCTTCATTTGGGACAACTTCCATGGCAAAATCAGACAGTTCCTACACCTCCTTTGACAGTTCGTTTAACTTCTTTTAAATCAAAGGCGCTTTATAATTTTCTTCAGTACGATCATCTAGTTCTTCATTCATTATTTCTCGATTAATTCTTTGGCTTCCTCATTTTCTGCATCTGAAAATCCTTCGCCACCAAGCGCTTGTGGAATTTATACGATTTCTTTGCCTTCATTTTTCAATCGATGGAAATCTTTTTAAATTGATAACTTCAGAGCTGATGCTGGCAAGTTTCTTGCAGAAATTTTACTGAAGTTTCTTCCATTGCTGGCAAATTAAACAAGCCCACAATTTAAAATTAAATTTCATACAAAAAATATCACGATTTGTTTATGAAACCCGTTGGAACTTCAAATACAACAAAAAGAACGCATATGAAAATGGAGACGTTGTTTGACTGAAGGATTATTATAAACACGGTTGCCAGAGTTGGGAACATTCTGAAAAATCTGACGACGCCTAAGGTGGTTGCGATAACGTTTAAGTACCGGAATTTCAGTTGTATAGCGGTAGACAGCATACTGCAATTTACATCGTCTTCGGCGAATTCTTGAAATTAGCTTTCTGCGTGCATGCAGTGTAATGTGGCTTGCTTAAGGGCACCATATGCCTCTTTTTTATCTTTTCATTTTAGAATTTTGGTGCTAAGGCTAAGCGCGATGCCGAGCTTATGCAATTCTCTGATGTTTTAGCGAAAACAGATCGCTATGTGCACAAGAAGAACAACAGAGCAAAAAAACACAAAAATGTGCGTCTTGTATGAAAAAAAAGACGAATAAAAATAATAAAATAGGTGACACAGAATGCATTTTTGAAATCGATGTACAATATGATAAACCTTTCTCTCCAAAGCCTGCCAAAGAGTTCGAAACATTTCAGTAAGAGAGCGGATAACTGGAAAATACTGGCGATTTTTTACAGAAGAAAAGAATGGTGATTTCTAATCAATTAATAAAAAATGAAGAATTTGCCATATGTGTATATTCCTGCATTATGGGAAAACTGAGGTACCTACAGCCACCAAATTTGAACGTACATAGCATATGCACTTCGAAGCCTGGTTTTGTTTTTGATTAAGGTACTTACGTATCATCCCGCATGAAAGACAGAAACGCAGAACAATAGGTCCTGAGGATAGAGTAGCAGGTGAGATCGCTCTTACGACTTTGGAACGCTATTTATATGCGCTACGTATTCTGATAACAGCGCCATGTCAGCAGCTTTTGTAACTATTATTTGAAAACATCTGTAAAACAGTCTTACAGCTTTCACAATTAATATACTGCTTGTTATTTTCCTCTGTAGACCTTAGTTTTCGAGATTTTTAATTTTGAAATCAGGGACTCCTTTGCTGGACATCCTATACGTATCTTGATAATTGCGGAATCGAAATTTTATGATTTACATCAACTACACGCAGGTAGTTAAAGGTGCGCCATTTTTTGAGTAAGACTGTTAAGAGGTATATTTTATGATGTGATCTAGGCCAAGGAACGAGAGCATATTCCACATTATAAATTTTAGTGGCGTCTCTTGCTAAAACTGGTCTCCCAATTCATTGCAATGTGATTCAGCATGAGATTTTATCCAACAAATATTCATGCGAATTCCTTTCTTTTCCTATTTTGTAATAACTAGTAAATTTTGAAAATTAATGGTAATATCTGTGAATAATTTGAAATTGTAAAACGTACCGACATACTTTTCAATGCAGATATTCGAATAAATAATATTACTGTCTACAATGTATTGTTAGATAGATGCTTTTAGTGTAATTGTATATGAAACTGCTGTATTTCTATTGTATAATGTAACATGAAAATCTAAGGGAGACAAGCTATGCCGGGAAAGTAAGAATACAGAGGCAAGTCCATTTAACGACGAGTAAATGAGTATCTCAGTAATTTGGCGAGATATCGCAAAGCTGGCAACGGTTTTGGCGACATTTTGGTACGATCCCTGTAGCACAGTAGGTATTGTAATTGATCGCAATATTAGCTGTAACAGTAATTCGACCTTCATATTGCCTTCCAGTAATTTCGAGGAGCAGAAGTACTAGAAACGGCGACCAGGCGGAAACTATATAAGGCCGGAGAAAGCCTCTGCTCTCAGTTGTTGTTAGCTGTTAGCTTAGCGTGAGTTCGGAGTACTGAAATATCTCCGAGTCGGTTTTCTCTCTAGGTGCGCTTTGCATTGCGTTGTGTTTAACATTCACAGTAATTTGAGGTGTAACTACTGATTGCACACTGTGATATTCTGAAGAGCTGTACGACTATTTCTGCGGAAAGTTCCAAAACTCTGAAGTGTTTCTTTTGATAAAATAAATTTTATTAACCTTTCATCGGATCTATGTGCATTCAATCTATTACGAACCCGTACGCACGCAAAACGTTCCGGTTCACTTCTGTAAGCCTGGATTCGAATCCCACTTCTGACACCAAAACGTTTTACATGCTTATGGGTAAATAGATTGAATGCACACAGAACCGATGACAGGTAAATAAAATTTATCTTATCAAAAGAAATACTTCAGAGCTATGGAACTTTCCGTTGAAATAGTCGTACAACTCTTCAAAAATATCACATTGTACAATCAGTAGTTACACTTCAAATTAATACGAATGTTAAACGCAACGCAATGCAAAGCGCAGCGAAAGAGAAAGCTACCCGGAGATATCTTAGTACTCCGAACTAACGCTAACAGCTAACAACAACAACTTAGAGTAAGTAGATGCTCTCTCCGGCCTTTCACCTGACCGCCCAGATATTTCTAGTACTTTTACTGTAAGGCAATATGAGGGTCGAATTACGGTTACAGCTAATATTGTGATCAATTACGTTTATTCAATTACAATATCTATTAGGGTGATAAAAGGACAGGATCAAAATATCGCCAAGTTTGGCAGATTTGGCGACTTCTCGCCCAATTTGGAGAAAAAACTAGAAGCCAAAAACCGTTGCCAGCTTTCCTATACCTTGCGAAATTACCGAGATACCCATTTACTCAATGTTAAATGGACTTACCCCTGTACTCTTACTTTTCCGACATAGGTTGTCTCTCTTAAATTTTTCATTTTACATTATACAAAAGAAATACAGCAATTTCACATACAATTAATTACACTAAAATCATCTATCTATGTACAAAATTCATAGCAATATTCAATACCTCAATAATAGCTATTGTTTCTACTTGGAATATATTGTTTTCATTATAAACGTGTCCTTTCCATTGATTATAAAACACATTCTATAAAGTTTATAGAATCAATCCCCATTGTAACAAATGCGCATCCCATGCTATATTATTCATTTTAGAGCTATCGGTGTAAATTCTCAGCATTCTGTAACTAATTTCAAGGTGGACCCTTGAAACTGCAATGGCTGAACTCATTCATTTTTTACAATAATTATTTTAGAAGGCTGGCAGAGAAAGCGGCTTATCTTACTAATCGTATAATCGACTCCTTTTATTGTCTTCTTGCCAACACTAGATATGCCTATCTTCTCCTTAACCATTCACAATTTATCGCCCACCAGAAGATATGAATTGCCAGTACGCTGTGAAAACAAAGAGTGCTGGAGAATGAACATAGAGCCGATGTCTTTCCCAAAATGTGAAACGTACAAGAAAAGACCATCTAAAGACAAATCTGTACGAAGACAATATTACAGTAAGTCTTTTTTTTATCAACTTACGTCAGAATAACGTGTACATTTTGTCTTATAGCGGCTTCTATCCCCCCCCCTCGATTATCGTGCTACGATTCAGAATCCCAGTTTCGAGCCTGGCATGAAATAGAACAGCCAGAAAAGAACATCCACCTTCACTGGTGCCATCTATCGGGAAACATGGCCATGAATAACTAAGTTGAGTAGATCAACAAACAAATGGTTCTCATTACCAAATATAGATTGCGGCACGGGACAGGTGCAGTCCTAAAACTAAAGGCGACACAACACCTTCTACTTAGTGGTCTCCTACTATAGAGTTGTAACTTTTTGAGCCGTTAGGAGTTGAGTAATGCTCCCTCGGCTTCAGAAATGAAATAAATTCACAAGCCTTCAGAATTGCAATAATTCTGGTAGCAAGTTTGGTAAAGAGGCTGGCAAAGGAGTTGCCTTATCGTTGGAATCCGGTTCGAATTTCTCAGACGACAGAGAGAATTTTAGAGTAGTTTTTTACCCCCTTTCTGCTGTAATTTCGATTCGTCTTTATGGTGCACCCTGGACAACGTCCTTAGTGATCACACAGCAGAATGATGCAAGAGTTGGCTAATAAATTTGAACCTGTCCACGCGAAGTTTTTTAGTATATTTATTTACAAATACCTGTGTTTTGGCACTTAAGTCTTAGCAATTTAGAACTTTTGGGTAACAAAATTAAAACTCATAAGTGCAAGGTACATGTCATAAATGTTCTTTGCACGCAGACTGTCCAGACTTGCAAAGACAATTTTTAACTCTGATGTTATTCTCATTTAATCAGTTCAATTCTCACTTTGCGGCTAGGGGAAAATACATAAGTCCAACACATCTTCATTAAAAATTGTAAAATATAGAAATACCTAAAACATTAAATGCAGTTATGATATATATATGTAATATTTTAGCAGTCGGGCAAATGAATGAAGCTTGAAAGAAATGATGACACAGAAGTTAACTTTATATCTCCATCTCTTTATTCAATTGAAAGGCATTTTATCACTCTTTACTAAATAAATTAATTTCAATGCGTCATAAGATTAGAACAAAGGAAAGGCAGATGAGAAGCAGCGGCATAGATCTTGCCAGCAGAGAGAGAAAACAGCTTCTGACGCAAAATGGCGCGAATTCGTTATTTATAGAAGCGTTTACGTAATAGGCTGGAATGTTCTGGAAAGTACTGGTCTAGGGGAAAGATCCTAAATTGCAGAAAGTTAATTAAAGTTTGCTGATTCGCATAGAGCAAAGCCGTCCTATTTTTTATATTTTACATATATATATATATTAAAGTAAGAAATTTAGAACCAGTTTACGCAAAGACCAAAAACTGAAATTCAGAAGTAATAAATTTAAAAAAATCTTATAAATATATAAAAGAATTCAAAGAGCGGTCAAATTGGATATTTTCGTTGAAATATGACACCCGAAATTTTTCGCGATTACAATACTTCCTTTATTTCGTACAAGGAAGTAAAAAAAAAAATTTGGATCAAAATAATTTGGACAATTTTGTAAAAAAGAAAATAATTTTCTAACCTCAACTGCCAGCTGAGGATAGAACCTGGGACTTCTTGGCCTCCAGCTAGAGCCTTTTGGCGATCATTCTATAAACAACGATTTTTGGTATGAGCGATAAACAGCCATGTCTTTCACAGCCGGCGCTCCCTGGGCCTTCGCAGAATATCTTCGGAATTGCGAAACTGGCATGCATACTCCGAACACTGGACGATTCAGAGGTTCGAAAAAATGGCGCTGCAAAAAAAAAACCATGTGACAGCACTTAGATTCATATTTAACGGAATTTATGTTGCACGCAGCTAAATTTACTTCTGTTTGTTGTTTTATATTTGCTGCAAGTTTTAAATAAATTTCAGATGCAGTGAAATCTCGGTTCACGGCTTTAGTTCGCCCACTGAAGACCGTTCGTCATCCAGAAAGCCCACAGAACTGATGATACACAGAACCGATGATACACAGAACCGATGATAGCTTCATAAAGTTAATTTTAACAAAAGAAACGATTTTCAGTTCTCGAACGTTTCACAAAAGTACTCGTACAACTCTTCTCAGTATGACACAGCACAATCAGTATTTACCACTTCCAACTACCAAGATTGTTAAACACAACGCAATGCAAATCGAAGCAGTGAAGCTCGCACGAAGATCTCTCAATACTCCGAAACTTTGAACTAAAAACTGAGAACTCACGATCTCCGATCTTACACGGTTTTTCCCCCGATAAATTTCCAGGACCTCGATTTCTCGAAATTCCTGAAGGCATATACAGTTACAGTTGCACAGGGATTAGACAAAATACAGTTATAGAGGGATCGGACCCAAATGTCGGCAAATGGTCATTAATTATGGTGATTTTTGGCTAAAAATAGCCAAATCAAACGAAAAATTAATAGCCAAAGCTATCGCCAGCTTAGTGCTATCTCGTCAATTTGAGGAGATAGCCATTTATTTATCTCAATGTTAAATAGACTTGCCCCTGTTGCCTTATTTCTCCGGCAAAGTTTCACTCTTGAGGCCTTTCAAATCCCATTATACAACAGATACTACAATTCTAAATGTAATTTGACTAAAATTTTTACATATAAACAAAATTCATATCAACATATATATATATATATATGTGTTGTGTGTGTGTGTGTGTGTGTGTGTGTGTGTGTATGTATGCGTGTTTGGTATTGCCGATTGCAACAGAAAAAGAAAAAGTGCCCAAATACATATTATGACAGTCCCATATACAAAATTTCAGCGTTCTACGTTTGATCTTTTTGAGTTATGTGAGATACATAGGCGCGAACGTACAGACGTTGCAAATCCATTTTACAATCTGTTTTGGAATACAGAGTAGTTTAGTCTGTGCGGCCCACCAACGGCTGAGTGGACGCTGGTGGGTCACTGAACACTGGCAGTTCCGTGGCACTGGTGTTTTCATGATTTTTTCCATGTGTAACGTGTACACGAGCCAGTTTCCCGTAGAAAGTGCTCCACGAAGGCATCTATGCTCTTGAGCAGATAACACTCGAGTGCTTTGCAGTAATTAAATAAGCCAAAGCCTTATTCCGCGCGTATGTACAGACGTCATGCTAAAAAATCGTCCAAATGAATTCGAGAACAGTCAAAATTGATATTTTATTTGAAATATGATATCCAAAATTTTTCGCGATTACAATACTTTCTTTGCTTTCTACAAGGACAGTTCTAAGTATGAAAGTCAGCCTATAATGCAAAATGGCCATAACTTCTTCCGTTTCAATGTATCAAACTGGAAATCTCGCAGATTCTTTCTTACTGGAGAAAATTACATCGCTGTGCATTGATTTGTTTTGCATCTAACCGCAATTTGATAACTCATACATTAGTTTGTTGACAGTAACAGACATTATTTCTCATTATTAGCTTAAATTCACTTATTCGTGGTGCTGTAGGTTACTAATCTCAGCCAAACCACAGGCGACCGAATCCACGATCTGAAAACAGCTGAGGGGTCAGAATGTTCTTTTCACAAAATGGATATTTTTTATTACAAAAAACTATTTTACGCTTAATAACCGCCAATATTTATCAAAGCAATGCATAAGCAGTAATATTAATATACCAAAGGGAAATAAATCATCAAGTTTATATTTATTTTTTACCTGAAATCTAAAGTTTGGTAATTGTAAAACAAATTTTGTTGGCTGCACTTTGTAATTCAATTACATTGATGGCTAAATATTAAACTCTTAGACTTACATTTCTTTCAAATAATTCTCATAAGATTAATTAACCATGAAGAAACATACTTTTAATTTAATCTAAAACTAAATAAATTACGAAAACTCTCTGAGTTTCAAGATAAAATTTGGCGAGTAAGACAAAACTGAGAATAAATAATAACAACCTAGTCTTTTTCTCCCATTAAACTTTTCTTCGGCACGTTATAAAAATTCGTATGTTTGGGTGTAAATACTTATAAACTTCTTTATTCTCCTTACTACAGTTTGACCCTTGATGCCGTTTTCATTCTAATAAAATTTGCAGCCTTGGAAGGTAATTATTAGAAATTATCCTCTTAATGCTTTGCAAATGCTCGACATTCAGTCGCAAAGATCTAGAGTAGACCTCGCTAATATTAACATGTTTGTCTAATCTTAATACTTGAAGGGCATCCTTCGTTGAAAGAGAAGAGAAGACGAAATCCTTCGTTCGTCAATGTAAAATTAAAAATTAGGCAAACAAGCCTTAGCAGATGTTTCGTAGATCTTTTCCTCCAGACATTTGGGAATGGAAAATAATAATAATAAGGAAATATAAATGCTTTTGGAGAAAGTCTCTGTTAATTATGTGTTCTGTAACCAGTTTACCCCTAAACTCTGAAAATCATTTTCTTCTGACTTGATTGTTTCTACTTCGAGATACCGTACGTCATCCGCGGGTTTCTTTTTAAGAACCCCATTTGTTTGTCAAGTGAGCGTTCATGATTCGAGGCTTCACTGTAATCTCAAAGCTCAAGCTCCTACCATATTTCCACCCGCAACTCCCCCCCCAAACCGCCTGAATTTAAAAATGGATTCGTCTACATAGTTACTGTTTTCGTCCTACTAAGACAAACCTTCGCAAACTACCCGTGAAGGTCACGCCGAATCTTTTCCTTCTAACAGTCGATCTTTATGCAGCCTAGTACAGGAATCAACCCATCATAGCGAAGCAAATACGAACTAACTTTCAGTCTATGATACCTCTGAATCACTTTCTCTAATAATTTATGGATGATTTGAAGCCTAAGGAGTCGCAGAGACAACAATACGAACGGGCAGGATGCAAGTTACAGGGAAGTAGGAAAGGAGATATTTTATTAGATATTGTAAGTTATCACTGTGTATTCTTGCCGGATTGTACGTTCCATTTAATGAAATAATACTGTCGCAGCTACCTGTAGCTTATCAAAGACTGTTTTTCCTCCGTTATGTTCTTACTGTAACCGCGTCTTTCGGAAATTAAATTCGAAATAATATTCTCTCGATTTTCGGGCGATAAAATTACCAAATTAAGAAGAGAAATACGCGAGGATATACATTGTTTCAGTGTTTCACACGCTATATCTGTAACTTTTATTTGTTGTTATCGAATTAAATAAAAAAGGATCTGTAAATATCTAAGTAAATGAAGAATGACGTTTCTTCAAAATTTCGCAGGAAAGACTGGCGTAAGTTTGGTGGGATCTTCGAAAAATTTTCAGGTCGACGAGAAAATGAGTCAAAAACCATTAATAAATCCAATCGCTCTTTAATAGATGTTTCTTTGAAGAACAATTCGGGGGGGGGGGAGAGAAGAAAGAAAAACTCAAAACAGCTTCTTTTTTTGTGCAGGATGTAAAGATGGAAAGATGTTCGTAGTTTGTGACATCACAGGACCCAAAAGAATGAAAATGCAGATGCTGAATCCCCAAAACCGTAATGTACTAGAAGAGACAGAGCTTCAGATGTAGCACATGAAATAAATTTCCAGATGAGAAAATAATAATTTCAATTAAAAAAATAAAAGCGCTTTCATAAATCTGTGGATTTTTTTTAGTTTTAATTAGTCAACATAAAATAATAGTTCAGTACTTCAGTTCTTTCACGACTGAAACGACCGAGACGGCCTTTCATTCAAACGACCAACTACCGCCCAAACGGCCGAGATCGCATGCTCTGTATGAGACACATCACCCTCCTTCCCCAAAGTAAATAATAACCTAAGGTACGGTTTTCTCAAATGGAGTGAACCTCAAATGGAATTTTTAGCCGTTTTGGTATTTTAAGCAAACAGGTTAGTGAAGGCCTTGGCCATCTAAGGGTTAAAATACGCACTTCGCCGTAACGACCTCGCCTTGTGTGGTTCATGGTAAAAATTGAATTTTATAAGGGTGCCAGGTACTCCTTATGTCTCAGTGAACATGGGCTAACTTGAATAAAGGTGACAGTTCCTTTATTCGTGTTGACTACTGTTCACTTAGATCTTCAGAAGAACATCCCGGAATGTGGATGAAGGTCGCATTCTTCATGATATATACTTAATAAGGGGGCCGGGCATCTCTGTGTGTTCATGATGCGGCACTCTTGTTCCTTGGCGAAGAAAGGTCTTTTTGCACAAAGGTGCAATATAGTAACCGGTAATAAAGTTCATAAAATGTCGGCTTTGGGAGAAAAAGTATTAGATGACTGCCATGAAACGGAAAGAAGAACGGGATCATCAAACTAAATCCAACTTATGCTAAGGTAATTTAGTTTCGAGGGTCACCGATATATAGCCTTTAACTCCAACATGTACCAAAAATATGTAAACATCACACGGTATTACAACTGCCATGTCATTGGGCACAGGTTGTAACTGTAAAACATCGCCTGTCTGCGTGCAGTGCTCAGGTTGCCATTCAGATAAATCATAGCAGCAGGAAGCAACGAAATGCATTAACTATTAACATTCACATCAGGGACAGGGATCTACTGCTTATCTCAGCATTGCAGTCAACTGACAACACTGTTATAACGTACAAAACAATGAGCGCTCTGTGGAGAGCTTGTCCATAAAAGTTCTGGCATTTCAAAATCGCTAGCTGCGGATTTAAGAAAGTTTCAACTGACGTTTAACTTACTAACAAGATGAATACATAGAAATGGCAAGATTGGAGAGCAAACTCCAATCTACTGAACAAAAAGAAATTTATGCTGAAGTACTAAGAAAACCGGCTAGAGAGCAATCTTCATTCCGTAAAAAGAAGCGTCCTCAACAATATATTACCATATTATACCCCAGTAAGAAAGAGAACAATTTAGAGGTTATAAAGAAAAGACTTCTTAAAAATAATGTTTCCTCTAAACTGAAAATACATATTAAACGACTCAAACCAATCTCAGAAAGTGGTCTTCTAATCGAACTGATCTTGACGCACTTGAAAACGAGATAACAGAAACTGAAAAACTCACTTCAAATAGAGCATCCTAAAAAACGTCCTCCTGGAATCGTGATATCCAATATCCCAAGAGATATCCTAAAAAACGTCCTCCTGGTATCGTGATATCCAATATCCCAAGAGATATTACAAGGAAGTAGTTGAAAGACTCATTGATTGCCCATAATGACGGCATCACAAACTAAAATATTATGGTAAAATTCCCTATTAAACATAGGGGAATGAAATACTGAAATCTGGACACAACAATAGATTCATTCAAAATCTTCATAAAATCAAGAAAAGCATGTCTGAATTGGAAAGAATGAGCTTGAGAGAATATGTAAGCCCAACTCAATGTTATCGATGTTACTAATTTGAAAACATCTCTACTACCTGTCAGATTGAGAAGGCATGACGAAATTGTAGAGAAATAGGTCATGGTCACAAATAATGTCAAAACTTAATGTGCATAAATTACACTGAAGGTAACGCAAACAATGAATTTCAGCTGTTTGTTGATCACTCTGTTGATCTCTAAGCTCAGCCCATCACGCCAACTGGAAATACAGAAAATTCGTAAAAGAATAAATTATGGATAATTCCTACGCAAAAGAATAATATACTAGCAATTCAGATTAACCTTGCTAGATGTCAGGCAGCAGCCGCACAAATCAAAGCTAACAAAGTGAAGTATGGCACTACGTTCCTACAAGAACTTTTTTTCCTTACAGGGAAGGCTGCGTGTCTCCTACTTCATTGTAAACTTTTGTACGACTCTATCATAACGTCGCGCTTAGTCATAGCAGTAAATAAATTCTCTCAATTCAAAGACATACCACAAAAGGTCTCGTTGTTGCATTGCTGGAAATAAACAAACAAAAGTATGCACTAATCAACTGTACAGTCCATCACAGACCGACCTAACAGAGTTATCAGATTTATTAAACCAAATTGACTCCTTACTGCATAATGGTGTAACTGAAATTGTTTCAAGTTTGGGGCTCCCCTTTTGAGGACCCAAGAAGGCATCTCCTACGAGAATATTCGACTTCAAATGGCTTTGCTACTGAAAACGATCCTGACAGCTCTCCAAATTACTAATGCAGCTGAGGAATCAGTTGGATTGATACCACAATATTCAAAAAGACTCTGCTGGTTCTTCAATACTAAATTAGACTGTTTCAGATTTGGAAATTTGCAGTAACTACAAATATATTGAATTCTCGATCTCAACCAATCTTCCCAATCATGATCAAAGAAGAAATAGAAACTTCATAAAATGGATTAGCTCCTATTAAAACAAAGACTACATAACTTTCTTGGCGAGAAAGTTATTTCTGAAAGTACTGTAGATCTAAATGGACTTATGAAAAATTGTACAGCGAAAATTAAAATGATCTAAGATTAAGCGTCATCCCCGAAAAATGTCAAACTGAATGCGCTTCATAAGGGCAACCCATGGTGAACAAAAGAACTGAAGGTCTTCAGAAATAAAATGAAGGCTGAAAGAGAAAGATTCCAAAAATGTACGTGGGATGAAGATCTAAGTTCTCACTCACTAAAGGCAAATTTATATGACAGACCTGGCTAAGAAAGAACTCTTGACAGCAAAACGATCATCCTGGAAACAACATCTAAGTAAAATCTGTTCAGCTTTTCCTTTTAGAATCCACATCGACATTGCGAAAAACAGTGTTAAATTTCACGTTACAATTAAAGAAAATTAGACGCCTAGATGGAACGTATACTGATAATTCTAAGGATATAATTGAAACATTACTAGAGTACCATTTTCACAAAGATGACTGACTCATCAGATGACCACGAAAATCACAGAGAAATCAGAACCTCCGCTAAAAGACTTATCAAGCATTAAACTGCAGAGCTGGTGCTATTTAGTAAAGAAGGCAAAAACTGGAGCAATCAGATGCTTATCGGCCAATTTCTTTACGCTCGGTGTGGAGTAAAGTTTATGACAAGCGCGTTACAAGACGAGTAACTTACTTCCTACATAATTCAAACAGGGTGCGTCATCAACGATTTGGTTTCACAGCTGGCAAATGCACGACAGATGCTATTCATGAAAGTTTGGAAATCGTTGAAAATAATAGACGTGATAAAAGATACTCGTGTTTAATCTCTTCAGATATTAAAAGTGTATTTAATAGCATCTAGTAGCCCTCATTTGCTTTTACAACTCGAGAACCGTCATTTCCCAGGAAATTTATATCAAGTTGTACAGGCATTAGGGTTTTTTTTGGGGGGGGGAAGCAGGAGGTGTGAAAAATTAAGCAATGCTCTCACCTGGAATCGAACCATGGACCTGTCGAATACGCGCCGAGCGTGCTGACCATTACACCACAAAGGTATGCAAAGAAAGCGGGAGAAATACCTTATAAAGTGATTATAAAGATATGCTATATGATTGTAATATATTATACGAAATCAATAGCATGGCTATGATTTGTGAACAGTAAAAAGGGTGTGTACATGGGTCAAATTCAGGAGGCTTATTCTGGAATAAAATTATGAATTCAGTCTAGGAGGAGAACCCCATGTTCAAGCATACGCTAATGACCTCTTAAAAACAGTAAAACTCACAAGGAAGTGCAATCAAAGGCAAATCAAGCAATAACTCTCCCGCATGATTGGTAGAAAAAGCATCAATTAAAATTTTCCCAAGAAAAATCAAGTAGATTACGACAGAAAGAAAGGCGGCACAGCAAATACCGCACTCACAATTAAATTAAATGGATCTACAGTTAAGAGAAAACATCGGGTTACATAGCTGGGGATTATTCTCGACGAAAGACTGTCATGGTTGCCATATTTTGACTATATAAAAACAAAAACAAGCAAAATAGTTAATGTCCTGTCGACCGAAACCAACATTAAAAGAACTACACTCAAAAGTCTTTAATCCGGACTCGTCGGGACTTAAACCGGACTAATCCGGACTCGTCGTGCGATTCCGGATTACCGATTTTTCCGGATTATAGATCATCAGTTTAAATCTGGTAAGATGGCATGCAGAAATTATAAAATTAAAAATATGAAACCGTAATTTATGAAAGAAAGAGCAATTATGATCTAAAGGGTATCAAAATTTACACACACACACACACACACACACACACAACAAAAAAAAAAAAAAAAAAAAGAAAGCTTAATATTTATTTGTTTACTTTATTAAACATTTCTTTCAACGCGCGCATGCGTAAAGCATACATTACGCATAGTCGAATTGCAACCAGAAAACTATTTGATGTGTATTCGTGATATTTCTAATGACGAGGAATTTGATTTAAATCACATCAAAGACGGAGTACATCGAGATGAAATACTACATTTAGTAAGGAATCATAAGCCGAATAAAATAAAAACATCTGCCCTGAAGATAAGGATAGCGCTGACAGATCAGCTTCCAGTTCATTGCGCGCCGCGACGTTCTCCCCCTCACCCGCAGAGCAGCGTGAAATTGATAAACAGATTTCGGAATGGTTAGAGAAACAAAGGATATGCTTTTATCCATTTTTTTGCTGCAATTCCGCTTTTTGTTTGATGGGCATCCAAACATACTTTCGCTTTGGCAGCTCCAGCATCGGAAATTCTATTTGAC